CGATACGGTGCTGGTCGCTGGTGAACGCTGGCAGACGCTGCTAGACACTGCCGCAAAGTGTGAACACAGTCTGACGAAATTCAAAGCGGTTGACCCACAGTCTCTTTCGTTGCGTACAATGGAGCGTGTCAAGAAAGATGGCTTTGGCACGCCGCCAGCCCATTCTCCACCAATCATGGAAGCGGGTTATCGATGGAAAACGACTGATAGGTGTGATATGATAGTCCTGTCAGTTGCCGAAAAAAAAGTAGAAAAGAAATGGAACTGTACGCCAGACACTCGTCATTATCTTCAAACCCATTTACTGCACTACCACCAGAAGGAGTATGGCTAGGAATCTCTTTTCTAACCTACTTGAAACCTCCTTCATGATTTTCACTTTGCTTGAGTCGCTTTCAGAGTATCCTGTGATCAGTACCATTGTAACGTCATGACCAGCTTTTGCCAGCGTTTCCGCCACCCGACTGCTGAAAATGACCTAAAACAACCAAGCTACGTTATATCCATAAAGTGAACTGTTTTAGGTAGATCACCTGACTATTGGCGATGTCGGGAACAAAGATGACCATCTTGTACGCGCCGCACCATTCCGAAACGAAAACCACCGTCAGAAATAGGGTCAATAAAGACGACATAGGCAGTGAAACGTGATGAAAAGGTTTCAAAGAAGCCCAGGGGGTAAATCGTCCGGCAGGAACGAACGGTGCTGATTGTCGGAGACATGGATTAGCGAAAATATGATAAGCTGTGCTACGTGAACGAAATGCCAACTGATAAGGAAAAACAGAGATCGATATCTTACTGAAAACTCACTCGCGTTGGTCAACTCTTGCCAGGATGCGCCTCGCATTCTATTACTTCCATATAGAATCTTCGTGAAATTTTGAACTCTATCAAGCCAACACATTGTTTTACGGGAAGACAGGTGATGTGCAAGGCACCGCTCCTGTCCTTTCAGACACTTGTGGTACCAATTACCCAAATTAACCATCCCACAAGGGTTGAAAGGTTCGATTGGGTAAAAATGGAGCTGATCTTGAATTTGGCTAGCAAGCGCATATCTTTTCTGCTTTCGAAATTATTTATCAATAAAAACATTAACACGTGTATTAGCGTATGCTCATAATAATGAAAATTTTCCCGAAAGCAACTGCAAACAGCCTCGCCAAGGGTTTTTTAGAGCGGCTTGTCGTGCATTGTGATGACAGAAACAATGGAATTTTCAACAACGCTTTCCTCATCTGTGCTTCTCTTTGGCTATAGACTGGAAAAAGTGACTAGATAAGGTATAAAAGCCTGCGTTTGGTACGAGTTCTGTGCATTTACCGACATCCACCAACTCAATCAACTTCAACAATCTATCAGCCATTATCCCTACAAACGAATCTGTCAGTGATTGCCTACAAATGAGCAGCCTGTGAGGGAAGGATATGGAGCGCTGTTATGGTAACCTCTTCACCAGATTGCTTTGCCGACCAGGACGTCTCAGCTGGTGTAGAGCTGCCAAATACCGCTGAGTTTAATAGCCCTTCGCAAGCCCCCTCGTTTTGCAGGGATATGACTGTAATGTATGTGTTAAATTGAATTTTTAATGCCAGAAACATGCTTATCAACCTTCTCCGTTTCGATCGATACTACAAATAAAATGGGCAGATCACGATACCTGAAACTGTACTGAAGTGGTCGGTAATGCCGTTAGGGCGTGTTTCAGTGACAAGAACGTTTTTCAAGAACAAATTATGGTTAACAGAGGAAACAGGATAAACCCTCCCCCTCCCATATGCGCGCTTTCTAAGTTAGCGTTAAGTTGGTGCTCTAGAGGAATATGCTCTTCTATATGAACCGTTACAGCCATATCTAATTTTAAACAGCAATCCTGCCCACATTCGATCGATCCGAGGTCGACTCCATCGTGATTTTTACTCCTCCATGTCGCCGCCATCTATACAGTTTATATCGTCGCAATCAGTCGGGGCGGTGTCAGAAGGGGGTGTGTAAGCCATCCAGCGGTGTTTCCTACCACTGGTTTTCTCTTCCTCAAGCGATCCCTGTAAATAGAGAACGCGACTAGGATAGGGTCATTCCACTCTTCCTGAAATACAATCTCGCAACTGCTTTGTACCCTCGTCATCCGGGCAGTTGATTAGGGCGGTCGTCAACGGGCCGCAGCGCGTGCCAGGAACTATTTGCTTTTTCCAGGCTAATTTAGTCATTTTTTCCAACTTTTCACTGTTTTGGCTACTTTTTCCCAGATTAGCAGCTCCTTATCTTCACAAGGTGGAAAAAATGACTAAATTAGCCTGGAAAAGCAAATAGTTCCTGGCACGCGCTGCGGCCCGTTGACGACCGCCCTAATCAACTGCCCGGATGACGAGTTACTTACAACATTAGGACTGTACATCGGTCCGACGATGAATTTTCGCAGAGACGCGTAGCGCGTATTCATGGACTGTACTGTTCGGTCAAAACTCCAGCCTCACTGCACGACCGATAGGCCATTCTTGCAGGGAGGGGCGCTGCTTGGTTTAGAGGGCCATTTTGCACTCTCGCTAGTTTTTTTTTTTCGCCTAGTTCTTTGTTGAAATCACCTCCATCTGGGCACCTGTAAACCTTTGTTAGGTGTAAAAGATGCTTCCGATGTTGCATGGCTTCACAGAAATTGCAGGTCTCTATGAGAGGCAGGTGTGGGGCTCGTCTGGGTATGGAGCAGTGCAAGCCCGTTCTCGCAGTGCGAGCCCGTTCTCCAAAATTTGTTGACGCGGCTCCGCTCCAACGATAAGTGGACCCAGCTCCGCAGCGAAAACGACTGTAAGTAACGAGTGATGGGTGACGGCAATCAGCATTATTTCCGTATGCAACGTACTGCGATGAAATTGGTCAAGAAAACAAATATCACGAAAGTTGTCTTGTCCTCTATCCTGCAGCAGTGCAAGCCAACACCAACACTGACCGACATGCAAACTGTGGAGGAAATCCCGTGGTGAGTGACTGAACAATCAGCTTACGCTGTTGAACAATCCCTTGTGGGATGGGCGACACAGCGTCCTAACGTTCACCACCAGAATGTAAAGGCCTTAAAATAGAATATGGCCTCGTCGATGATTTTGGTAGCCAGCTCACGTGAACGCGCAGTGTTATTACTCAGACCAGTTCTGGTGGGCCACATTATAGAATCTAAAGGAACTGGCTAATAGGGCTAATAATCCTGGAGAGAGCTGATCCCTGAACTTCGACGCATCACATCGGGTGGTGGAAAGGCACCGTTTTGCTTCTCCCAAATCCTCTCATAGCATTTCTATACATCTCATAATATCCTAGCCAGTTTTCCATCACCAAGGTAAAATGCAGACAAAGATTCGTGAAATGGCGTGCATCCTACTTCCCATTCAGATATCGTAGTGACCCTGAAAGCGATGTGACATATAAAATAGACTTAACGGGGGCCAGCCATGTAACAAGTCAGTGATACTACCTAAGGCCGAATCTATTTCAATGTACCGTCCCAGCGGTAAAGGCATTGGGTGGCCTGAGCGGGAGTCAACGCCAGAATTTGCACCCGACTGCGCGAAGTGTAGGCAAGTCTCACTTGCTATCACGAACATTCCGCCTGAAAAGCAAGATATCAGAACTGGTACCTCATTGCAGAAATCCAATTGGTCCACAGTGGCATCGACCTACTGTCCCAAGACGTGTGTTGACTGCTTGCATCACTAGCAGCCTTTCCTTTTCATGAACGAAACAACAAAGTGAGTGGGCAATGTGTCCAAACTACGTGGAAACCTATAATCAGGATCAGGCAGGACTGCCCGAAAACGTGTGGATTCTGTGATGCAGGTTCTTTTCAATCGCCATAGCAAATCTAGAAAGCCGTTTACCTTCAGTTTCACCTATCACCAGCGATATCGTTCCTTCTGACCAAAAGGGAAAAGGTTCAAGAATGTTAAACCAACCAGTGCCAGAAAATTGCTAACAGTAGCGTTAAACCCTAAAAGTGAGCGTCGCTACTTGTTCAACTCCTGATTCAGAGAGCGCACTGTGAGAGCAGTGCAAGTTCGTAAGAAGCCACACTTTCCGTGATAATCGCATGGGCGGAGTAATGGGTGGCTACACAGTAGTGGGTGCTACGGAGTAATGGATGGCTACACATGAGCATTGCTTCTTTTCTCCACTGGAGCGAGTTCTCCTTACTGTAGTTTGAAAGAGCGGTCTATCAAGGCGCCCAATGAGTATGAGGCTCCTGCCATCCGATAATTGTGGAATATGCACTTCCGTGCTGATTTGCCAAGCCCAGACGAATATACAGTGATGATCCGTGCAAACATTAAGGCAATTCCCGCGACTGCACTTCATATATAATACAGTTCAAAAATGGAATTGCTGTGCGCTTGTTGACCTACTGAAGAATATTAAAGTTCGAAAAACCGCCCGCAATAAGACCCTCTTTATTGCAATGGATCGTGATCACCGGACGAGCATAAGACGGTCAAGATCGATTGTGAATTGCAAAGGACGACGATACACTGGGATGAGAGGAGAGAGACCAGAAATTGGCGGGCGAGAGAGCACAATGGCATCGTCGCGATGACACGGGTATCGGAGGTCGGCATGTGGGCCTATTTTGCGCCAATGGCAGCCAAACCTATGTTGTTTTGCGCTCTACTTGCTAGTTTTCGAATTTTACAACCATACAGCGTCTGCGGGTACCTGCCTGTTCGTCGTGCACATTTGAGAGCACTTAGCCTTATTTTATCGCGGACCGTGCCTTTAAGCATTTGCATCTCTTTGACAAGAATGTGGACTGGGAAGCGCTGCCAAGCTGGGCTTTTCACTGGTGGTCAACGTGATATCGCAACAATGGGCGGAAAGGGGTATGTGACAAGAGAATCGTAATTCACCGTGCTGGTAGGCGTGGCGTGCGGCGTCGCGCCCGCAAATGACGATGGTTCCAAGTGATAGATGGCAAGAACCAGGCAATCCAAAACCGCAAATACTCATGAATGTCTACGAGGTCGGGGTCGTCCAATTCTCCAATCGACAAATTGACAACGGGTTAAAGAAAGCTCAGCGAGAATAAAACTGCACGATCCCGACAGCGAGCTAGTCTACTCTGAAATTTTATACTTACGATAGTAACGATTCATATTTTTCCGCTCTTTGTATCTACGAAGCAACCTAAATGTGGAATATAGACAGGGGTTTGCGAATTCATTTGGCCGCAAAGCAATACTTGGAATCCTTCGCACAACTGGGTAAGTCCCAACTTTGCAGACAGCCAATAACCATTAAGAAACAACCTTTCAGCAGCTCTTCAATAATTTTTCTTTCAGGTACTACATATGGATCGGACTGAAAGTAATTTTATTCCATTAATCGTTTGATTTTTTTCGTTAATAATGAAATTCTTGTGGTAAGCTAGAATTTTAGTGTCGCTCATGATTCTTCTATGGGGGTTCACCTTGAGATCTCCACAAGCTCTAGCAGTGCAAGCTTAGTGCACAATTCAGCGCAGTCTTTTCCGTTGATGTCAGACGGGCCGTGTCAGGGGAGCAAGGGGTTTTGGGGCGACGCACCAGTCCCCATTTGTTGCAAGACCGGTGGGGCGGCTGAGCCGCGCTCTGTGTGCGCGACTCGTGACCAAGTGACAGCGAACTGCGGCTCAGTAACAGTCGCGTCACAGTCGCCTCACACGCAGCGCAGCTCAGCCGCCCCACCGGTCTGCAATGATGAGGACTATAAGTCCCTTCCCCACCACTCTCATACGAGACAACCGAAGTCGGAACGATCCTGAAAGCACGCTAGAGCGGCGTGAAATCCTTGTAGAGCGGCGTGAATGCCTTCTCCTGCTTGACACGCCCTGACTGACTTTTGTGTAGTTAGTATACGCTAATATGTCTTTTTCCTCTAGTTCCGATTGCTCATTCCTTTGGGAGTATGTTTACGACCATTTCCTACCGCCTACAGGAATTTCCATTGGGATTAACGAAAATATGCTTATTCGAGCAACCCATATAAACTTCTTCGCTGCGGATAGTGGCGGTTTCAGGGGCCTGGATTTGGCGCGGCGCCGGCCTGTTCTCCATCACATGTGGGAACTGGGGCGACCACAACTGATTACCATCTGACGGCGAGCCCTATACCCAATTTGACCCGAAGGCCCCAAATGTCTGCAGCGAACAGACTGGCACTACCTCTGCGCCGTTTGGCGCACGGATATTCAAATACAGTGCCAGTAAGTAATGTAGCTGAAATGTTTACTGCCATACGCAAAAGTACTCATCATTTTGTGGAGTAAGTAGCTCCGAGCTTCTTTCACTCTAAGCATACCTCCCCAAGTCCTTATTATAAATTGCATGCCAACCTTTGCTTATTTCTCACTTTGACCGACTGTGTTTTGACTCCACGTGGAGCCTATCAGTCTATTGCTTCACTAAGTTCTCAGTTTTCAGTTGTGCAAAATGGATGCAAAATGGATTTTGCAACAGCACGTTCTATTCCAAAGCATACAAAATGCAGTACTGTGGACGTCCATGTGGGATGTGCTAAATGGGAAAGGAGGCAAGAATTACACCCCGCTTATCATTGAGCTTGTAGGGCGCAGCCTGATGACGGGGGGGGGCACTTGCCTTTCGCTACTTCCCTTCGACGTGTCGACCTATCTAGGCAGCCTCTTCTCGAGTTGACAGGTGCTACCATGACGACAAGATGAGCTTGCTCCAGCTCACAAGAGTTCACAGGTTTCGTCAGAGTGAGACTTGTAAACCGGAACTAGGGAAGCTATACTAGTGCTAGATGCCCCCACCCCCCGTCGTCAAACTGTGCCAGCTTGTACCTACAGAACTGTATGTACGATAACATGCTCCTTGTACATGAACTTTTACCTTGTAATGTTTCAAGGATTCATGAATTTTTCTCACAATGAAAATTTAACCTTACCGATCATGCTCTTGATTTACTTCTTCAAGAAACAATAGTGCAGAACACTCACAGATATACAGGAAATACTGCGGCTCTGCGGGAAGAGTATTCACCTGTATCAACTGTGCTCCCATCGATTTCGTTCGCGGGAGCCATCTCCATTCGTTCCTGCGACGTGCCAGTGTTGCCCAATGGGAGATGTGTGCTCGGGGGCACGATGAACTTCATACCGCTCGTTCAGAGCTCTCATGAAGAAGTGTGACCGTAAGCGGTCGTCCAGATGTTCGCTTGACGTCCCATAGAATCCAGTCGCTAATCGCTCTGGTCCAGCAGTCGTCTTCAAAGCGTATGACGTGGCCACCTGGTCTTCGCAGCCTTGACACATTCGGGTGTGTCTCTGAATCGTGCCAGGGGCACTGAGCCCAACAAAGCGTGGGCAGACAAATAGGCACATACTCATAATACTTGTTCTTTCTCGCTGGCACACCATCCTTACTGTAATTGAATAAGAGGAGGCTCACCAGTGGGACCTCACAATGGAATGAAGCTGACCACTTCTTGTCGTCCTCTATCCGAGCCCCGAATAACAAGGGCTCAACCCCTAGGGATGCAGGTCGACTTCAGTGTCTCAGCTCGGTGCAAACTAGTGCAAAAGTCACCGGAAAATTACTTTGAAGCCGCATTCCGCGATCATCTGAGGTCTGACGCAGGGCACATCGTTGTTGGGGAATCCCCAACAGAGGGGTCGTATTTGGTCGTCTGGAAAGAGGGGAGGCGTGTTTGGGCAGAGGAAAATTATTTTGATAGTGATTTTTCTCGCTTCACGGACGTTGTAAAGGGGAAGGGTCGTACTTGCTCGTTGTTGGGAAGGGAGAAGGGTGGGGAAGGGTCGTATTCAATTCCTGGCCTAATGGGAGACGTGGTTGACGTTTGGTGATTTTCCTGTTTATCTTTACTATATACCTCCCCCCCTCCCCCCCCCCGTTGAGGATCGCAAGATGGCCGACGGATGGTCGTACTAAACAACGTAAAAAAAAAAGGGGAAGAGGTCGTACGGACCTCGAAAACCAGTGATGTGCCCTGGTCTGACGCTTGATATCGTAACAGATCGCCTGGGCGGTAAAAGGCATTGAGTGATACCACTTTCTACCATGATGGCTAGTAGCGTGGTTCGAGTGGATCTAAGGAGGAGAACCAAGTTCCGCTGTACCTCTATTCAATTCGTAATCCGCTGTACTTCGAAGTTCATAGAAGTTAATATATTTGGAAGGCTTAACCAAACTCCTTCCAACATCCCTACACTCCGAGAACTTGAATAGATGTCATGGCACTGCGAATTTTCGGGCAGCAAAAACCCTACTATCCAATGTTTTCTCGGCGAAAGGGCAAACTCAATTACCAAATGCCCTTCCTGTTTTCGTGAAAACGGAAGCTTGTCTTTCCTTCTCCCGTTCTCATGAGCTTTAATTACGTCTAAAGATAAACAGCAATGAGAAAAGGACAAAGTGGTGTCACACTCAATCGATTCGGCGTTCATCTGCTTCCAAGATATACCTTCATACCCTCAAAAACGTATTTGCCTCAGAGGAGAAGAAGAGGATAAGGATCTGCGCGCGCGACATTGCACCAGGATCTAGCTGGTTCGAAGTAGAAGTGATGCAGTGTGCCAAGTGAATTAGCAAGGGAATCCTATGCTGGCAATGAGTTCCGGTTGTGGACCCGCAGCCACCAAGAGATGAACCATCCCCCTAGAACTGTCTTTTGGCACACGTCGTTGTCCGGAAACAGAACGCTTCAGTCGACATAGTTACATTTAGCCCCTTTGTAGGCGGTTCCCCGAATGCTTTAGGGCCAACGCCGAAAGTGCGTTAGCCAAGTGAAGTTCCTACGAGCCCGGCGGAGTAAAGGAAAAGAAGACCTCCAGGAGAGAGAGGGAGACCTTCGAAAACGCTTCACATAAAGCGCTACTTGTGCCGAGCCTGGTCATCATCCTATATTGGCAATGCAATTCGTCCCGGTTGTGGACCGGCAGCCACAAAGACATGAACTGTCTCCCTGGACTCGTTGGGCATACTCCCATGTTTCGAAGACGAGAAAACACGTTCTTGGAAGTAAAAAGCCTATATCTCTTGAATGATGGGGTAACTAAATATTACAGGTGGTTTGTGAAAAAAGGGAGATGAGTGGAGCTATACGTATAACGGCGGTTAGCAGTGGGTTCAAGGGGTAGCCTACAGCCCCTCATAGTTATCTAAGCTCATTGAAGGAGAGGTTGTGTGGACTGCAACAACAAGCGTGCGTAAGTTTCAGCTCAGGAAATGGAAATGTAACGGCGGTAAGGCACAAGGTCGCCCAGGTTGATAAATGTCTTGACTGCTGTCTTGCTTGTTTCCACGCTCTTTTGTCTGGTCTCTGGCTCAATATCCCCACAGATTCTTTGTCCCTCGCTTGGCACAAGTAGAGCTTTATTCAGAGCGTTTTCGACATATTTCTCTTCATTTCTCTTCACAGGCAAATCAGCTAGCACATACACTTCTGTTTCTAACCCCGCTAGCTTTTCGCTGGCTCATAGCGAAGTCTGCTTTTAAGGAATAGCTGAGGAAATGCACGTCATGGCGATGAATATGAAAAGTGGTCACGAAGCTGAACCCTTCCTTCCACCGCTGCTTCATCTACGAGCCCTTAGCCCTTCACCCTTGAGTCCACCGAATGCCGGGTGCCAATTGGAGGTGATATCTCCACAAAGGCTATGAGGAAGGCAGTACTGCCAAAACTGCATATGCTATTGGCCTGCATATTGTTACCAATCTCGGACTCTATTAAAAGCAGATATCCATTATTGGCTTTACCGATTCTTCACCCCCTTTTCTCCCCATTTTGCCACTCGAATCACCGCCCACCGTTACTTTACTCCTCCTCCCCGGGAGACGGACAAGAGGACCGTGAACTGCCCCTTCGTCGCGCGCGGCCATGGGCACGACGTTTCCTCAAGTTGCGCTACCCTCTGGATTAAAGCATCGGATTCCACGTAGATAAGGACATGGCAGGATCTTCCGTCTATTTTCGTTCAATACATTGCCTATCCCGACCAAAACCACCTAAAATCGGGTGTACAAGACAATCTGTAACCGGTATGCTCTCTCGCCGGAGGCGTCACAGAGGTGTTTCTCATCGCATCGCATCTTCTGCTTCGACAGCATTTAGAGTGGAAGGAAAATAATGAGGAAGGATGAAAAAGGAAGGAAGAAAAAGTTGGAAAAGAGGAAGGAAAAAAGAAGGAGGAGGAAGGTTCCGCGGTTGACAGATATCCTGAGACCCCTAAAGAATCGGCGTCGTAAAACCGCGCGCGGTTGTCGACACGCCGACGGGCCACTGGCGCGCGGCGATACGATTCCCTGTCAATCCCCTCTCCGCGCCCACCATAAGCAGAAACTTAACCAGCCAGAACTTTGGACGATTCCATCAGCCAAACCTTTGAATTAGTGACCCTAGTGACGGCCCCACCGGTGAGTTATACTTCAACAAGAGAATGTTCGAGCGAAAAGCTGTTTGCGTCGAAGGATATCGATCCCACGAAACATGGCACAGCGGCTAAAACGACACTATGAGATACCTGGTCCTGTCGCACGACTTGTTGGCAATTACAACGCTCCCCCCCCCTTCCCCTGTACCACACTAACATTCATCTTTCACGCTCACTAACTTTCTTCTGTCATTTCACAGTGGGGCGGGCAATCGTACAACCCGACATGCAAAAGGTTTTTCTTTATACTTAGGTTAGATAAATCATCAACACTAATCACCATCTAGTCTAGCGTTTCTCCCATTCGCCTTCTCATAACGGAAAAACCCAGGTGTTGTAAAGGTCGCCTGTCCGAACGGATCAGTCGTCGCCATTTAGCATTCCAAACCGGTATCAGACGGCTGTTTAACGTCGGCAGTACACCGGACTGATTTAGAGTTTCGGCCTTTTCCAGCGTTGGCCGATGTCCACAAGCCACAGAACTGGCGACCTAACAATCACACATAGCGGATTTCTGGCCAGCTGTGGTAGAGTTGATTGGGCGGATTTCTGGCTAGCTGTGGTAGAGTCGATTGGACACATAGATCAGCAAAAATAGAGGAATTGTTATTATTTACCGGCGCTCCAGTGAGGCTGGCTCTGGAGCGTTGCCGAACGCGTTCTCCATTAGTGGCTGAAGCATGAAAGCACCAACAATGGGTGAAGAATGACATACTATACTATACTATCGACATGATACAGTCTTGTCGCTCGAAGAAAAAAAAAGAAACGACCTGGCGTAGCGCCAAATCCCCCCCCCCCTCACAAACCCCGTCATAGCAGCGAACAAGACTATGACTGCCAGGTTGATTCAGTTGGATCCTGGTACGAATGCCACTCACGGGAGAGACCACTTGCAACGTCTGCCTCGCTGCACTCGCTGCACTCGCCGCAACATGAATGTGTTGAACAACATCCCGAACCTGCTATGGGCGCCTGAAAGCTACAGCGCCAAGAGTTAAACTTTCCCTGCGAAAAGGTTCTTGCCGAATGGATGCACCCCATGCGCAGGAAGAAGCATCGATAGAAATCTCCCAAATCCGGAAAGTTTGGCTTTGGAGCGTGA